GTTCTCGGTACTATGTCACTTTTATTGATGACTTTAGCAGAAAGGTATGGGTCTACTTTCTGAAAAATAAATCTGATGTGTTTGACACGTTCAAGAAATGGAAGGCTATGGTTGAGACTGAATCAGGTTTGAAGCTGAAATGCTTACGATCTGATAATGGAGGAGAATACATTGATGGAGGTTTCAAGGAGTATTGCGCTGTCAACGGTATCAGAATGGAAAAGACAGTTCCAGGCACACCACAACAGAATGGTATTGCTGAACGGATGAACCGGACCATCAATGAACGAGCTAGAAGCATGAGGTTGCATTCTGGGCTACCTCAAACATTCTGGGCTGATGCAGTTCATACTGCAGTTTACTTGATCAACCGTGGACCATCAGTACCTTTGGAGTTCAGACTGCCCGAGGAAGTCTGGAGAGGAAAAGAAGTACAGCTTGCTCACCTAAAAGTCTTTGGGTGTGTTTCCTATGTGCATGTAGACTCTGATGCTCGCAACAAGCTGGATGCCAAATCAAAGAAATGTTTCTTTATTGGCTATGGAGATGAAGAATTTGGATTTCGGTTCTGGGATGATCAGAACAGGAAGATTATCAGAAGCAGGAACGTGATCTTCAACGAGAAAGTTTTGTACAAAGACAAATCAAGTACAGAACTAGAGATAACTGATTCAGATACGAGTCCACAGAAATCTGAATTCATACAATTAGAAGGGCTTCCTGATGTTACCACTCAAGAGTCCACACAAGATAGTTCAAGCACTTCAGTACCCACCACTTCTACACAAGATAGTGCAGAGCCAAGTGAACCAGCTGTTCGCAGGTCTTCAAGGACTATAAAGCCTCCACAACGGTTCACACTTCTACTGAATTATATCTTGCTGACCGATGGTGGTGAACCATTAAATTATGAAGAATCCTTACAAGATGGAAACTCGAGCAAGTGGGAGTTAGCCATGAAGGATGAGATGGAGTCATTGCTGAAGAACAAGACTTGGGAGTTAACCAAACTGCCTGAAGGAAAGAAGGCCCTGCAAAACAAGTGGGTTTACAGAGTAAAGACCGAGCATGACGGAAGCAAACGGTTCAAAGCAAGACTTGTTGTAAAAGGGTTTCAGCAAAAGAAGGGGATCGACTATTCTGAGATATTTTCTCCAGTTGTGAAGCTTACAACAATCAGAGTTGTTCTGGGGATAGTAGCTGCAGAAAATTTACATCTTGAACAATTAGATGTAAAAACAGCATTTCTTCATGGAGAATTGGAGGAAGACATTTACATGCAACAACCAGAGGGGTTTGCAATACCAGGAAAGGAGAGTCAAGTTTGCAAACTAAAGAAGAGTCTATATGGTTTGAAGCAAGCTCCAAGACAGTGGTACAAGAAGTTTGATAACTTCATGAGTAGTACGGGATACACAAAATGTCAGGCTGATCATTGTTGCTATGTCAAACATTTTGACAACTCCTATATCATTCTACTGCTATATGTGGATGATATGTTAATTGCAGGTTCCAGCATGGAAGAGATTGACAAGCTAAAGCAACAGTTGTCAAAACAGTTTGAAATGAAGGATCTGGGAGCTGCTAAACAAATACTTGGCATGAGAATCATCAGAGACAAAGACAAAGGCATACTAAAGCTTTCACAGGCAGAGTATGTCAAGAAGGTTCTCAGCAGGTTTAGTATGGATAATGCTAAGCCAGTATGTACACCTCTGGGGAATCATTTCAAGCTCAGTAAAGACCAGTCACCAAAAACTGAGCTAGAACGTGGATACATGGACCAGATCCCATACGCCTCAGCTATCGGCTCCTTGATGTATGCCATGGTCTGTACTAGACCAGATATTGCCCATGCAGTGGGAGTTGTAAGCCGATATATGAGCAATCCTGGAAAGCAGCATTGGGAGGCAGTGAAATGGATCATGAGGTACTTAAAAGGCTCATCGGAGACATGTCTTATTTTCACAGCTGGCGATTTGAAACTTGAAGGCTTTGTAGATGCTGATCTAGCAGGAGATGTTGATAGCAGAAAGAGTACTACAGGTTATATATACACTCTAGGAGGCACTGCTATTTCTTGGAGTTCTACCTTGCAAAAGATAGTTGCTCTTTCAACGACAGAAGCTGAATATGTTGCAGTTTCAGAATCTGCAAAAGAGATAGTATGGCTACAGAGTTTCCTGCAAGAATTGGGCAAGATGTATGGAAAAAGGTACTTTGTATAGTGATAGTCAGAGTGCAATCTTCCTTGCCAAAAATCTAGCATTTCATTCCAGAACAAAGCACATACAGATCAAATATCACTTCATCAGGCAATTGCTCGACGATGAACAGTCACTTCTCCCCATCGCTGTGGGTTGTAGTTTATAGAGTTTTCTGATCTGTCTGAGTCTTGTGATGAAATTCCATGTTTCAAAAATATCCATTTTGCTTCCTGTTGTTTTACCGTAGATTTGTATTATTTTGCTGGTGATAAGCTGGATGATGGTGGCAGAAGTTGTAGGAGTTAACAATGACCTGGGTGTTATGTGTGTGGACACAAATGGCCAGTGACAGCCATGCCATGGTTGATATGGTTACAGTCAAATGGTGGGTGCCGAACTTGCCCACCATTATTGAACAATTGTCTCCCTCCTTAGCTATAAATAGAGGGTGCATTGATAGCTTACTTAATTAATTAATAGCTTAGGACTTACAGAGAAATTTTACAAAAGAAAGAAAGGCAAGAATAATAGCTTAAAAGAAAGAAGAAAGCCTCTCAGTTAATTAATAAAAAAAAGGAAAAGTTTTTTAGCAAAATGTGCTAAACATGTTAAGATATTATTAATATTTTAATATAAAAAATACTTAAAAAAACAATTAAAAGGGCAATTGTATATTTTAATATAAAAAAGCTAGTGAAGGTGTCAGATCATTCTCGTGAAGGAAGTCTAGGCATGGAAGAAAGTCCCATACCGCATCTGCACGGTCTGGATTTTTCCATGTCTGAACCTCAGTTGATTCAACAACTAGAAACAAAGCTGTGAGAAGCAGAACCTTACTTGTCATTGCTGTTCTGTGCATGATCTTCGGTGCTGAATCGGCATATGCTAGTTGCTAATGTACAGGGATGGTAAAGGATACTTGCAGCTCGGATTTTTATTATATTCATATCCTTTCTACTACTTATCGAATATCCATTAGATTTTGGGTGTGTGTATATATATATATATATTGCTATGGATTTGGATGAGATTTTAGGCTAAATTTAAAAATATGTATACAATATTCATTACTAATTAGATAAGATAAATTAATTATCCATGAATCGTATCCCTCAATTTTTTTCTTTAATAGGACTTCAGCTGCTAACTAAATCCATCTCATGCAATCATCATGCACCTTGCATCCCTGAAAATTGTTGAGCATTTTGAAGCGTTGACATTGAACTTTCGAGCTGGTAGTGTGTGAACTATTATTAAGCCTAGATTCTTAGCTAGATGTTCAAGTTAGAGGTGGTTCCGTGACCAAATGAGACTATCTGGTAAGAG